TTATAATCCTGGGTTAAATCTTGTTTGATCGAGTTCATCTGTACAAATATGAATAATTTATGTATATATATATGTATATACAAATTAGGGTATTAAGATACTCTAATCAATTTAGTTTGATACAATAGAAATTGGAATACTTATATTACTATTATTAACATAACACAGATGTTTATATAAGAGAGAGAGTTGTTTATTGATTTACTGTCTCTTTCTTCTCTCACGCCTTCTAACTCAATGAGTCTTATCTTCCCGTGGGGATATTTATATTTATTATATATCAAAACAGACCAATTGCTTATTTTATTGATATTAAAATAGAGATGAATGTAGATAAACAGACTGTCAGCCCATATATATATATATATATATATATATATATATATATATATATATATATATATATATATATTCTCCTATTTGAGCCCATTTCATCTAAACAGATTAATAGACGAATGATATAGACTTAATACAGGCTCATCAATAAATGCTTGAGAAGAGAATTAAGAGAAAGAATTATTCCCTTTTTTGAATCGTATTTCTATATACTCATTGATTCAAGAAAAAGGGGACAGAAAAGAATATTTCCATCGTAGAAAATCTTTTTAACCAATTCAAATAGAGTTTAATATAAGCATATCAATATATATATCTAGGACTACAACATACAAAATCTCCACCAGGATACATATACATGTCTGTAAGTCTATAAAACCTGAGTAGTAAAGCATTGAATTTTTATCAAGTTAGAGTTTGGAGAATATGTGTTCACTGTTTCATCCTGCCTATAAGCATCTATACTAACTGACTTGGGTTAAGAAGTTAACGTTGTGTCCACATTTTGTCAATAATATATATATATATATATATATATATATATATATATATATATATATATCTGCGATACTAAGTTATTGATTTAATTAAGGCAACAATTGATTATTGTAGAGTATTTTAAGAATATTGTTTTGTTTCTCACTCAAATTATTAGCAGATTGTTATCTGTCATTTAGTGAACTGAAAGGTCATTAATTAAATGGGAAAAAGTAAAATAAAAACGTTTAGTGGGAAAGTATACTGTTTAAGATGAAAAATCAATTTGATACCCTAATAAAATCATGATGTTATTAGTATGTAATACAAAATGAATGTTGTTTTTTTCTTTCAGTTCACTTATAAATGAACATCAACTAGAAGGTCTAATACCTCTAAATGCCCAAGTATGGCCGAGAGCGGGGAGAGTCAGCTCTTTCTCTCCACATGCTCTCACATGGCCACAGGCATACAACCACTGTCAAGGAAGTCCTAATCACTGCATTCTCGTGGCGAGGGTGTTGTTTACGAAGTTGGAAAATCTTGCTTCCAAACCAATGGTGCACATGGGCTTCAGGATCCTGAAGGAATAAATAGCGCATGAACCAATTGTTGGTCACCGGCTACCATGGGACTACATCTACTGGCGTTGCTCCACTGCTTTGCGAATTAGACACTTAGGTGTTAGGCTCAGGGCATGGCCCCCTTAGAAAACTACTTGATTCGGTTTGGGCACCCAGGCAGTAATCCTAGCCCTCACACAAATCGAATGATTTATGTGGCCTTCTTCTGCCAATGTTTATGTGTTTAAATAAAAATAAATAAAGAAGGTCTAATAAAAACTATAAGATAACATTAACACATATTATGTTTGATTTCCAGACTACTTAGAAGCGTTCATCTCCAATCTAGTGGAAGAGTATCATATTTCTTAACAAATATGAAACACTTAGATCATTAAGTAAGGGTTGACTGTTGGATATTTTAAGCAATTTATTTTGTTATAGGTTATAAAAAGCCTTATCAAGTAAACATAAACACAACTTATCTCTTCATCAAACTCTTGTAAATGTACTGTACTAACTTTTTTCATAAAACAGCTTAATTTCCCTATAGAAACTAAAGAAATCATATGTATCTCGACATTCAGATGATCCAGTCCATCGTTTCATTATGTCAGTTTACATGAATAGTAAATAAATCATTTGTTTTAATGGGCTAAATTAAATATAACAATCAACAAAATTAAAACCAAATTAGGTCACATGTTTAAAAGAAGGATATTAACTGGATTAGTCAACCCTAATAGTTAGAGAGATAATTATATGTATTCGATATATCTTGAGCGTACTGCTATAGGATTAAGAGAAGATTTTGTAACCTGACTTTATGCTTGAGCAGTTCTTTTTAGGAGCTAAAAAGCACACCTTCCAAAGACTTGATCACAGGTTCGAAAAATAATCTATTTACTTCAAATTTGGTAGAGTGGGGACAATATTAAGGAACTTTTAAACAGAGTTTAATTCGAATGTAAATACATGAAATTATATTTCGTTATCACTGAAGGATTTGAACCCTCCTTAACCATTGACTTGAAAAGTTCAGATTCTGAAACCAAGTGTCTCATGTTCGAGCCTCAGGGTGGATATCAATTTCAACTCAATACTTTAGATTCATCTTGCTAACTGTTCATGAAATCAAGCTCCTAGTCACTAAAATATATCTTAGTGGAAGTACACTTTTTCTACTAATTCTATGGGTGGTAAAATCGAAACTTCATGCATAACTTATAACCAAATAAAATAATATAATCAGTTGTGAATATTTATTTAAACACAAAACTATTATTTATCAGATATTCACAAGCACTCAGCTTCATATTTAAAGCTTTGTAAACTTGGTATAGAATAGATATATTAAGGAGTGTTAGAATTTTTCGATCCATGAAAAGTATTCAGTGTAATATCATTTATTCCTTGTTCCTTACTGAATCTCATAAAATCAGTTTTGGAATTTATCCAGTTGCTTAACTGACTCAAAATGTCAGTGAACGTTTATTTGACGCTAAACTACTACAAGAAGTTGATGGCGAACCCTAGACAAAGGTTTCGTGCTAATTTATCGATTAGCTCAAAACATTCACTTCTTACAGCAGGACAATCGTTACCCATTATGCTCCCGTGAAATGATTCTGATTATGTCACTAAAATAATTCATTTCGGGTTTCTTATGGAGTAAAGAGCCTTCTACCATTCTAAATAAGCCTTAACATCAAACGTACGTTACATTGGGTTATCTATTGGTTGCGTCAAACCACCTTCTAGACAAATAAATATTTGCATTAGTTGTAATAAACAGATGGATCCAAATTCAAATGATCTAAAAACTTATTACGTTTCTTATGAGGTTTCATTCTATTGAAAGATTGACCTGTAATCGGTTTCATTCTATAGACAATTCTCTCCAGTCTATTTTGAAATCAGTGATATAATTCTATCCTGAGCTTAACTTATGAAAAAACTAATTATGTTACTTACAAAATTGACTAGTAGCTTCTACATTTTTGAAAATATTTTTATATGTCCATTCATCTGTATCTATGATTAGATACTCGAAACGTTTTTACAGTTTACATATGTACAGCACAGTACTAGAGCAAGGTTTTAATTATATATTTGACCTATACGTGATCTGATCATGAAAGAAATTGCAATTTTTTTAGAGATGTGGTCAAGTAATAATAAGTAAATGATTCGGTGGTCTAGAGGTTAAGCGTTCGCTCAAGAGACTGATAGGTCCTCGGTTCAAATCTCGCGAGGCGGGATCGTGGATGAGCATTGCTGTGAAGTCCTACAATAGGACAAAACGGCCGTTCAGTGCTTCTAGGCTTTTCATGGTGGTCTAGCTTCAATTGACTCATGATCTCAACTATTAAAATAATAATGGTTTGTCGATTTTGAAAATTTCTTTTAACAATTTTTCCAGTGTTACAGATTCTTACCACAAACATATAAATTATAAAAACAGAGCAGAATATCAGATATGATGCATAGTTTAAAGTGAAGCAGTTAAGTGATTTGCAATTAATGATAATTTATACCATAAACGGATTACAGCTAGACAAAATCTATAAGATGAAGAGCAATGTACGGTTGTTTTGTCCTAGTATGAAACGACTAATTGGTGTAAGCCACACAATCCGTACGAAGGATCCAACGTAACAGGTTTATACCCACCGAAAGATTTAGTGGATACCTGGAGACTTAGAAGTTTGTTGAATAACATGTTGGTTTTTAAGACCATCGGCATTATTCGCAAATTATAGTAAGATCATCATACCAGTAAGTTGGTACGAAGAGCTGTCGAGTTCCATATAAAAACGAACTATGAATCTTCAATTCCACTTTTAGCCTAGATCCGGAAAAAATTGTATAACTATTTTGAAAAAAATCACGATCAACTAGGTGAGGTTTTTGTCTAAATGTAAAGACATTTCAACAAATCATATTGATAAATTCATACTGAATCAGACTAAGAAATGTTAAGTTTTGTAAAGAGCTAGATTTTACATTAATATCCAATGGCTGATGTTCTCATTTTAAATGAATTCATGATATTATATTTGCTAATACTCAACTATCATCATCCATATATACTATTACACCCGGATGGACCCAAGAAGACCCAAATAGCTTTGAAATAGCTATGTTCACTTCTTCTCGGCTATCAACGAGTCTCAACTACATATCAGTCCGTGGTGAAAATAAAGTCACTTGGAATCAATGACATATTTATCATGACTCTGTTGATATGCTCCGGTATCCATGAAGTAATTAGTTTATGTCTACATATTTTTTATAGACTTAACCGAATCTGTGAAAATAACTCACTATTAGCATCGTTTAAGTCTGACAAAATTCAGGCTAACAGTAAATTATAAGAATAAACATTTTCACTTATTAAAGCTTATATAACGATGATGTATACGACACAATACAACATGTAACGTTTATTATGTTTGTTTGTTTTTGACAGAAAGTAAATTAAAATTACGACAATAAACAACATTCATATCAATTATTATTACAGAATATATACAAACAGACAATCAATGTACAACAAAAGTTTTTTATAACCAAATAACAACATGTATATGAATAAGTACAACAGCTGAGTAAACCACGGACCTGTACGACGTTCCATATCAGCAGTTTTTACTTGTAATGGTCTTGCCATCTAAAGAAAAATGCAATATACATATTGATCAATGGTTACAGTATTTAAATATAGTAATTTTAATGATTTCATAAAATATATACTACTGATATATTGTAAAGGTAGGAAAATTAATCAAATGAAATTTTTTGATCATATTGTTATTAACAAAACCTGTGTATTCCATACACAATTAGAGAGATATATTGATGAAAACTTGGTAAGTTCAGAGAAATATTTCATCTTATCAAAATATCAAAAGGATATTGCGTCGATATTGGATTTTGGATTCTTTTTTTGTAAATATAAAGTCACTATAAAGTTTAAGTTTCCCTTTTAAGGACAGGATACATTAGAAATTAAGAATAATCATAAAGGTCAATGTTATTTACTCTAGTAGAATAATATTGTTTATATTCTACTAGAGTAAATTGAATTTCAGGTCATTTAAAAAAGATGACAGAAACTATAGTTTAAAAAACAACCTGAATAGAATAAAAAATCATGGCTAAATTTCAATTCAGAGTTTAGTTAATTATAAATGAGGGATTGATATATAGCTGATGAACTTAATATGGAAATGATTTATAAAAAGCCTGTTACATTTATCTGATAATTTCTATGAGTGAATATCACAAAGGTAAATATGAAAGTAGCTAGTTCACAGTTAGATAGATATATATTTGATATTTTATCATTTCATAGCGGTGAATTCCATCGCAAACAAATCGAGGTATATTCAACGCTAGATATCAACACACTGAGAATTATAGATGAGAACTGACTACATTTACACGATGTCGTGAAAATGGAGAATGAAGTTATCTGTGGCTTCGTGAAACGCCCCAACTATAAACACTGAATTTCTTCACTCTCCTTAAATTTTCTTGAAACAAGTCGATCTATTCTTATCAATCGAGAGTTTAATCATATACGTAGATTCTTACGAAATGAAATTGTACAGAGTTCACATCAGCATCGAGAACCCTGATGGTTAGAGCGTGCTAGCGAGTTAGAAACTGCATCTGCATCAGATAACTGGTAGACTACCTCTCGACTCATCCGAAGCAATGGCCGCACGATGTCTAGTGTGAGTGAAATAATCTATGAAGCTGATGGAACACTAATCAATAAAACCCTCCATGATGGCTGACAGCTATGAATGGATAGGTCTACTTGCAGTTGCATACAAACTATTGACTCCTGTCATGCTTCACAGGCCAACAATCGTTGTGTGTCTTGATGTCAGTACCGCATTCGATTTGTTTTACGGGATCGTTCCCTGTGATTGTCTGTAGAAGAAGGGTGTGTCTGGGAGGTTTTGTTAACATGTAGAAGTCCCTGTAAACAAACACTCCAGACATAGTAAGGATGTGCAAGCGCGACTGTTCACTGTTCCATTCGAGCATTGGGTCTAGACAGAGTTATCCAATCCCTCTGTTCCTCTTCAAATATATAATTGATAACATTCAGGAAACAGCTCAGATGGACGTAGTAAGTGGTGATGTGCATCTGTTAAATGGAGACTTTTCGATTTTTAGTATGTGGATGAAGTTGTCTTATTGTGCGATGATTCCCGAGCAATGCGATCAGCATTTAATCAGTTGACCATCAGTATCTGAGGATGTGGCATGTGCTTGCACATTCTCAGAGCACAGTACGCTAGCAAGACTGGAAGAGGTATGTGCCTAAGATCGCCCTTGTTGGTGAGCAGTTAGAAGTGGTTGAGTAGTCCGTGTATTTTGGTCGGTCTGTAAGTGATGGTGGTGGAGTGTGTGATGAGATTAATCTACGCCTAGTGAACGCCAGAACAGCTTATATTGATCCGGAACACAGTGACTTGTGTAAGCCTGAGCCAGTTTTTTTAGCCTTCGTGAGGTCCATCTGTCTGCATGAGGTTAGGTGTACAGTTCATCACTGAGATCAGTTCTGTTGCGTGTTGGTGAAATCTGACCTCCCCGAGCGGAGGATGTGAATCAACTCTGTAATCGATCATCATTGTCTACGAAAGACTGTTAACATTCAGTGGTAATGTCATATCAGTAATGCAGAGATTCGACAGCGTGTGTTCAGTGACAGTGACGATAATGCAATTGGTGCCACTGTCACGAAACGACGACCTCTATGACTTGGATAACTGTTGCGAACATCAACTCACTGAATATAATATAGTGAATTTATTTAATTACACTGAGACGGGTAAGAAGAATAATTGGATCGTCGGTGTATGACATGGTGTCATGGTATAAGGGAAAAGTGTACAGCACTGGTATCTATCTATCCTTCACAACTCCATGGTTTTGATCCTAGAGATAGCGCAACTTAGTGTCTTGAGACGTTACAAGACGTGACTCGGACTAGAAGCCAGTAGCGATCGTGTTGTAACTTTCTTCTATGTTTTTCATATAAATGAGAAGAACCTGTTTAACTGAAAAGATCCTTTCTTAACTGATCTGCTTCTGCTAGTATTTTTTTAAAAACTCTCATTCTCTATCTCCCCACCTTCACATCTTCTTGTTGTGATCTGCCAATACTAATACAAATTCACTAACCTACTACAGATTGAACCAACAATCATCAGAACTCATTGTGAACGCTTAATCATTAAAATCACTGTGTGGATATTCAATGGTCATTATTCATTTCACTGGAGACAACATTTTTATTTCGGACATAATAATTATTACTAAGCAGTTGATTATAGTTATTACAAAGTGTTATGAAGATCTTTAACATGAACATCGATGACATCAATTGCATTATCGTCACTATCACTGAACATACACACACACACACTGTTGAATCTCTGCATTACTAACACGGCATTATCACTAAATATCAAAAGTCTTCCGGAGATAATGATGATCGAATACATAGTTCGCTCATATCATCAGCTCAGAGTGATCATATTGTAAAGTGACATAAACACGAACAGAAATGATAAGATACGGAATTTTAAATCAATGCTAAATAAATCAATCTACATTGTTTACAACGGTGACAATATTCAATTATATGAAAAAAATAAATTTATTCCAAATTTCCTATCCATTAACCATTATCTTTTCCGCCTTTTTTTTCTTTCTTTTAAAAAGAAAAAACAATAAACGATATAAAACACCTAAGTTGATATCAATGTGATGCTTTTTTAAAAAAAAAGAGAAAAAGGAAAAAAAGAAAAAGAAAAAGAAGAAAACTATTCAATATTCAAAAAAAAATTTATTTAATACTTCCGATGAATCGAATAAATTTACCTTTATATTCATTCATTTACCTTTATTTATACATATCCATTCATTCATTCATTCATTCAAACAAACAAACAACAACATCAACAACAACCAATTATGTTTGTTTTATTGTTTTCCTCAACTATTCCCAACTATACGAAATATGGACTTATAATGAATTATTGCACAATATGAATTAAATACATTAAAGTATATATAGTTAAGAGTAGTTTTTATGTAAACAATTTCAATATGTATTAGGCTAATATTTCACATGGAAACTATACATAAACATGATGTGAATACACTTGAATGAATTCAATATGAGCGCTTTTTTTGTTGTAAAAAAATATATTTTTGTATTTTTATGTTTTAATCATTGAATTTACCGATTACGGTTTACTTAGATACTCAAATGATAAAATATATATATGTGAAGATAAACAATATAGGACATTCAAAATTTTTTTATAATTTTTTCTCTTTCATTACTTATTGAGTTTATCATGTGGAATTTATTAGTTGTATATTACAAAAGTAAAATATCCATGGAAATCATTTAGGGAAGTAGAAAATAGAAGTTGACTAAAATCTAAGGTCATAGATCTCTGGCATTATACTCATTAAAGGGTTTTAATGTTAGCTGGGATTGGATATCTTATATGACGCCATGCATATATATGTATATATGATTCTCTGGAACTATAAGCTGAAAAGAAACACTTGACCAAGAGTTTAGTATGCTAGGTGTTTCAGTAGTCAAAGTCATTTAACGAAAAATTGCGTAGGAAATTGACACAAAACGACTATATTAAATTATTTTATAATCTGATGTAGAATAGTAATAAGAGTAGTAATGTCTATGTTAATATTCTTAATTGAATTTTGGTTAGTCCTTGTTGGCATATATACATCTTGTGCTGACTCTCTGTACACGCTTGTTTTTTCGAGCTTTTCTATGAAATAGATGGACTGTGGCTATATTTAGGATACCGGATCCTATTCCCATCGCGTGTAGGTTCCACTAGCTGGGTGTGTCTCCATAACAATGTTCATTTTTACACCAGAATTCAAATGCAATGATTTTTACTTAAAACATTCCGTGTGTTATCCTTTGATTTACCGGATTCCACTACTATTAATAATCCATCTATTCTATAAAGACTTATAAAAAGTGAATACATCAAAGGGATCCACAAAGAATAAACATATACTAATAAAGACTACTTCAAGTTCAGTCGAAAATTCCAACAGTGGGATAATTTAAACGCTTTCTAACAATGATATCAAACTCAATGTATAAATAGTTATCTAGACACAATAGCTTAGTAAATAAAGTTTCGGTAATTCGGAGAGGAAAGTACTTCATTCGAATCTCGGTATAAATATTAATATTATGATCCAGTTGCAACCAGCTCACAAGTCCTATACGGCAATAAAAAGCGCATCTTTAATTCCACCGTTTACCACGATTCCTCTATTTTATAAATTGCATTAGTCATACCAATAAGGCGATTTTTCTTAAAATTTGGAGTGTTATACATAAGATAAATGTCAAAATTACTTCCAATAGACCTCGAGTGAATACATTTGATCAGTCTCTTATTATCATATGTTCACCGTGTGCGGATCGCCTCGACATTGTCTTAAGTCAAAAGCATTATAAGCAACACTGGTGACTAGCAACGGAACCCAGAACTCGCGTTTTTTCCCTACTAAGGACTCGTCAGCTAGATGTACCTGAATCTCAGAGTTGATATTCACTCTGAGAACCGAACTCACTACTGTCCG